GGACAGCGCTGGCTCCTTGGCTTTGAAGCGGAGATGAGCATCACCCCCTAGAGTCGGGAACGATTAGCACGGGGAGCCTTTGCCTTAAAGTAAACTATAGAGCCAGTTTGATGCAGAGATTAAGGCTCCAAGAAACTGGGAGACTATGAGGTCTAGTCCCAGCTTAGGCATCAACCCAACTAGTGACCTTGGACCAGTCATTTTCCCCCAGCTCTAGAAAGGTAAAGGAAAGGGCAAACCACTTCCAAAATCTTGCCATGAAAACTGCAGGGACCTGTCCAGGAGACTACCAGAAGACAAGACTAACTTGTAGGCACACCTCCCTTCAAAAGAAGTGTACTAAATTGGGTAATACTTTATCCTGTGGGTATTGGATTTATTTCCAGTATATTTAAAAAGAACTAAACTAAATATTGAAAATGACAAATCTCAGAAAGCACAATGCAGAAATGAGTTGACACAAAAATATTTGTTCTTCATTTTATTTTCCTTACAAATAGGTCACCAAACCATTGCCCATCTGTTCATGGAACAATACAATAAAAAAAATGAAACTATTCATTCTTTGTCCTGGTTTTAATAATTTAAAACAATGCAGCCATCCCTTAAAAGAATTTCAGACAGGTGTTGGCCTATTTCTCACAGTTCCTCCGGATATATTTGCTACAACTTTTACATTCCTTTTATGACTTGTGGATGTCAACTCCCAGAATGACTGGCTCAGGAATTCTGGGAGTTGGAAGTCCGCACGTCCTAAAAGGACCGTGGTTCCCCATCCCTGTAGAGGCTGGGAAGTTTGGGAGTTATAATTCAATGCAAATGGAAGGCAACAGCTTTATACATTACAAAGTAGGGCTAGTGGAAACCACAAGTTTATTTTTGAACAGTTATAATTTTATAATCATTATAAAATAGAAAGGACCTACTTAAAATTTCTTTCTTTCTTTTTTTAAAAAAAGAGAACAATCTTACGTCTTTCATTTATGTGGATAAATTTGGGCTTCACTGCACTTGACATAATCCAAATGATGTCTTTAAAAAACTCTATAGTTTAAATGGGAATGTTGTATTTCTCTTAAGTGACTCTGTCTTTCAGATACGTTAACAACTGGCGAGCTCTCATAAAACACAGAATAACAAACATAAATATCTGTGGCCTCTTGGAATCATGGCATATAAATTTACTACGGTAATAAATCTCACCCTAATCTTCTTAGAGCTATCAGATCGAGACTGAAAAATCCAGTTAAAGTTTTCTGTACCCCTTTTACGATGCCTGGATCTGGTAGCCATAAACCTTCTCTCCTTTGCCGTAACTCATAATATGAGCACCATTTTAAAAACATGAAAATAACATTCCAGTTAAGGTACCAAGTTCCAGGGGATAGAGCCAGATGGTGTCCATTCATGAAATACTAAAGTGATATGAGAAAAAGAATTGCTTAGAGCAGTGTTGGCAAACCTTTTCGGCACCAAGTGCTGAAAACGGAGCACGCGCATGCATGCGGGGATGCACTGCAAACCGGAAGACGCACATGCGGGAGCGCCAATCACCTGGTATTCCAGTTTCTTGCACGCATGTGCATGCAAAGACCAGCTGACCAGTGCACATGTGCATGCTGGAACCTGGAAAAGCAACAGGTGATGGCTGGTGTGTCCAGAGAGATGGTTCTGTGTGCCACTTTCGGCACGCATACCATAGGTTTGCCATCACGGACTTAGAGTCTAGCCTAGAGTTCTTCAAATGTGTTAACAAGGCTGCTGTACTATATGCATTCATTATCTTTACTTGAGATCTGGGGCACAACATCCAAATAATACCTCAATGCTATCAAAGAGTTAAAGTTTTATTAAATGGTTTGCTGCCCTCCAGATTTGTGCAGCCCATCTGCGGTAGCCCTACCTTTAAGAAATCACCTTAAGATCAAGTACACTTTGCTGATTTCTGAACAACTTGCTGGTAGTTCAGTTGATAGAAAATAAAATCCGCAGCTCTCGCTGATGCTCTGGTAGAAATCATCTGTTTAAAAGTAGACACAACAAAACAACAGACCTATCCTGCCACCTGCTGGCCAATAAATATGTATTCTGTATTTATTCTTTCTAAATAGTTCAAAGTAGAAAAACTCGTGACTTCTAGCAACAGGCCTTTCCCAGCAAAATGTGCGTACTCCAAAAAGAATTCAGAAGAAGCCTTCAGACCTTGTGCCACCCAGCAACTATGCTGGCTGGAGAATGCTGGGAGTTGAAGTCGACAAGTCTTAAAGTTGCCAAGTTTGGGGACCCCCGCCTTAAAACGTTATCCTCCCCCCCCCGCCCCCTTTGCAGAAGCCTGGGAAAAGAACGAAATGTCCTTAACAAATAGCAAGTAGGTTTTGCGTTCCTATGAAGTTTGAAGCGCTTCTCTGAATAGGTTTTTGAAGCATGCAGGGCCTTTTGGTACCCACATAATTAATAGCCATTATACAGTGCATTTAAAAAACCCACAAAATCTAAAAAAAAAACAAGCAATCGTATCGAACTTTGTACAAGCCAGCATACCTCCAATGAGGTGGCATCCAGGTGGGAAGCAAAAGGGGACAAAAAAGCCCTGATGCAACACAGGTCTTGGGTACACGCATCATGATATATACACGCATGAAAGGGGAGGAGCTTCCAGACGACATCATTATGCTGTTTTTTTGTTATTTTAATGAAAGCAGTGGCTTTTGTGGAATCTACACCTTTTTTTTTTTTTAAAGGAACCACAATATGAGTTATCTTGATGTTGTTTTCACACTGTAATCAGGAAGGCACTAATAATCCCATTGACTAATTTCTTCGAACAAGATACGCTTCCAATGAAGATAATTTAAAAGTCTTGCGGGAGGTTTAAAAACCTCTTCCGTTCGGTTGCTGTTCCAAACATGGAAACAAGGCTACATTTAATTAAAATGTGATGCTTCAGATGGGCTTTTTCAATGCCGCTTTTCCCACGCTGCCGAGATAAGCATCGTAGATGACGTTTAGGAAGTTGTCGTCATTCTGAAAACACAAACACATTAAAAAGAATCTGAAGGAAATCATAATGTCACTTAAAAACAAACAAACTCTGGAGGATCAGGATGTTGGCAGCTCCGATAGGGTAGCCCTAAAACACACACACTTTATACACATGGAAAACAAATTAAATAGACACTCAGTGGAAAACAACATTAATTATTTAAACCAGGGGTCACCAACCTTTTGGACCTCAGGGACTACTAAATTCATAATTTTAAATCCCACGGACCACGAATATGAACTTTTTAAAAAGATAAATAGAATTTGGTGCAATATAAAAGCAAATAATTTTTCTGCGGACCACTGAAACGTTCTCACAGTTGATGACTGCTGATTTAAACCGCATACAGATATTTACAAATGCTAAGGGAAAAAAAACCCTGGCAAATGTCACACAAAGATCAGACAAATAACCCATGTGATTTCCCCCCCCTAATTTATCATGTTGTAAGCTACCCAGTCACCTGACAGTAAGGTGAGCAGCATATAAATTTAATAAATAAATACCCTTTTACAAAAATAACATTTGTGAATATGTTAAATAAAACACAGAGGAATAGTATATCTATCATAGACAGGCTACAAAAATCCGGATTTAAGTTAAAATGTTATATAACTCTCTGCTGCCACCATATAGGGATCATCAAACATTTTGCAGCCCAGATATAACAACTCAAGCCTAGGGCCCTGATGGAGAACCTTTGGGGCACACAGAGCCATATTTGCTGGCATGCCAGCCATCAGCTTCGGCACATATGCACGCACTAGCCAGCTGATTTTTCGTCCTTCTGGAGGGCTGGGGGAGGCCGCTTTCGTCCTCCCCAAGCTTCGGGAAAGCCTCCATAGGTTGGGGAGGGCGAAAAACAGCACCAATGGCCCAACCGGAAATTTGGGAATGAACCTCCAGTTGCCTGTTGGGGACGGTTTTTTTGCCCTCCCCAGGCTTCAGGGAAGCCTCCAGAGGGTGGGGAGGGTGAAAAATGGCCCCAACAGGCCAACCAAAAGTTCAGAAACGATCTGTTTCCGGGAGGGGGCGAGGCCGTTTTCGCCCTCATCAAGCAGTTACAGACCAATCAAACGATGTTTTCTAGCTACTCTCAGAGAACACATAATAGGAATATGTGGGCTTCCAAAACCAACCGTCAATTTCAATATAGGAAGAATTTTCTGTGTTAACAACTAGCAGCGTTATAACTGCATTGTAATTCCATTGTAGCATCTAACTAACGATAGCAGTAAGACGACTACATTGTACAACCGATGCAAAACAACAATGTTTGCTTTCACTCCAAATCTTTTGACCAAACACCATAATCAACAGAAGATATAGGTGGCTAAGAATTGAGGATGTCCCACCTGAATCAGATGCAGAAGTGTTTCCTGTAGCTGTAACTTGGTTAGTGGGCTGCTCTTTGGGATGGTTGCTTCTGAGTTCTGAAGAGACAGAAGAAGGTTTGATGATCCAGAAGTGCTTTCTTGATTCAGCCATCCACTTTCACTTGGTTTTGGCAGCTGTGGGGCAGTCTGACGAAATACCATTGGAGACATCAGCAGGGATGGAGCTACAGTAGCGGGAATCCGCTGCGGGGAGATGACCTACTCCCATTGTACAAGGAATTATACATTAATTCAATGAGTACATGAACTCAACTCATAGATACACAAAGCAGAGGTTGAATAACACTAATCTCAGTGTTACAAACAGATAGGTTGAGGCAAAAAGGTTTTACTTTAATAAAAGACAGCCAATTCTCTGGATTGAAATCACCTTGAGAAGACAATGTCATATCTTGGAGGCAGCAATACTCCATAAATCTGGGATTAGAGAATCATTTCTGGTTTGAAGAGTAGAACAATGCTGAAGATGGTGGCCAACGGGGCTAACAATAGGCCAGGGCCAAATAACTTATTTAATTGGAAAAAGGTTACTTTTTGTTGTCATCCTCTGAAAATAGATTGAATATATTCCTACAAGATGATGGACAACTAGAACACAAACAGGTGGCAGAAGCATTTCTTGGCTAAGAGGACATGTTAGATACAGGCAGTCCTTGAGTTACAACCACACTGGAGTCCAGGATTTCTGTGGCTAAGTGAGACAGTTGTTAAGTGAGTTTATGACCTTTTTGCCACAGTTGTTAAGTGAACCACTGCCTTTGTTCAGTTAGTAACATGGTTGCTAAGGGAACCTGGCCTCCCCATTAACTTTGCTTGCCAGAAGATTGTAAAAGGTGATCATGTAACCCTGGGACAATGCAACCGCCATAAGTATGAGTCAGTTGCCAAGCATCTGAATTTTGATCATGTGACCATAGGAGTGCTGCAACATCATAAGTGTGAAAAACAATCATAAGCCCCTTTTTCCGGCGCTGTTGTAACTCTGAACATAAACAATTGTAACAGTCAAGGACTACCTATATAAAGGTGGCTGCCCAATATGTCAACGTTAGGCTGTAAGTATAAGATATGACAGTAATTCACCCAGCTGTGGATTCTACTAGCACTTTTAACATCTAAATACCCCAACATGTCAACAAAGGCCAAACTGCAGCTTTCAATAACTGGGATTGCAATGTAGGATGCTGAAATTCTCATACTAACATGAGCTATGCAGAGAATAATGTTTAGACTCAGGAGTACCAGGGAAAAAGAAATACAAATTGTGAAAAAATTTCGAAGGAACAAAAAGCCATCTCCAGGAGGCTGTTCTTCCCTTTTAAGAGTCAAATGTGGACACTTCGCTAACATTTGCATTCTGTGCTTTGGATGGTACAAATTTCATGTTCTCAATAAAACCTGTACAGTATAAGTAAATATAATTTGCCCAATGTACTATGGTGCTGGAGAAGACTCCTGTGAGTCCCTTGGACTGCAAGGCGATCAAACTGGTCAGTCCTAGAGGAGATCAACTCTTTAGAAGGCCAGCTCCTAAAGATGAAATTCAAATACTTTGGCCAACTAATGAGAAGGAAGGACTCACTGGAGAAGAGCCTAATGCTGAGAAAGATTGAGGGCAAAGGAAGAAGTGGACGACAGAGAATGAGGTGGCTGGATGGAATCACCGAAGCAGTAGGCATGAGTTTAAATGGAGGGTGGTAGAGGACAGTAAGGCCTGGAGGAATGTTGTCCATGGGGTCGCAATGGGTCGGACACCGACTTCTCAACTAACAACAACAACAAAGGAAATCTGGCAGTTATGGGGCATGGTATGAACTATGCAGAGCAATATTGACCTCACCATGACAGGGACTATTCTGGTCTTTGACCTTTGGCAGTCATTGTCCATACCTTTGGAAACAGTGCTTAACAATCATAAGAATTTAAAAAATCCAAACTGAATAAAGTTTGAGTTTCATAAAGTACCACTCTCTGAATTAAAGGAAATCCAAAAGGCTGCAACTTTCTAATGTACATAAATGCAGGGTTGCCCCCCTCATTTGCATATTCATGTCTTATTTTATATATTAGAATTATATCCTACCATTCATTTAAGGACTCACGGTGATGTACCTACCATTTATTAGATTGGGCTCAGATAGAGACCAATACAAAGACTTTCTGTGCTCGGGGGCAGACTACAATTTGGGTCTGTGTCTCTAATGCCAAGACCTTAATCAAGCAATGAATAAATATATCCCACACTATCTCTAAGAAAACAGCTGGTTTTAGAGAGAAGATGTCTGAAATTAATTTGGATTTTGCAGTCTCCCAGGTAGCTTTTGTTCAGCCTGCTGAACTTCCAAGAAAGTGATTGCATTACGACTCTAATTCTTAATTCTTAGATATTGGGATATTGGGATATTGGGATATTGGATATACATACATACATACATACATACATACATACATACATACATACATATTTTGTTGTATTTGTGCTGATAAATAAATAAAGGGAGACTAGTATAGATCTATTTCAAGCTATTTAGCTCTCATCAGCTAGCCATACCCTTACTGGGAATCGAACCTGATGAGAGCTAAATAGCTTGAAATAGATCTATACTAGTCTCCCTTTATTTATTTATCAGCACAAATACAACAAATGTAACAAAAAGGCAACAGTAAAAATATTGGGTTTCTGCCTGGATGGACTCTTGTGACGAGCCGAAGGACAGAGAATGGAAGTAGTGATCTTCCTCCCATATTTGGGCATACCGGGGGTTGTAAAAGAAATCTTATATTTATATTTACAACCCCCGGTATGCCCAAATATGGGAGGAAGATCACTACTTCCATTCTCTGTCCTTCGGCTCGTCACAAGAGTCCATCCAGGCAGAAACCCTGGATATATATACACACACACACACATACATACACACACACACCCACACACACACACACACACACACACACACACACACAATATCTAATACATACAGAGAGAGAGGGAGGGAGGGAGGGAGGGAGGGAGCGCTAGGAGGCTGCAAAACCCAAAATAATTTCAGACATCTTCTCTCTAAAGCCAGCTGTTTTCGTAGAGATAGCATAGGATTTTTCATTTTGTCTACAAAAGCCAGTATTTCCTCGACTACATCAAACCAAAGACTGATGCAGGCTTTAAAATTCAAAAATATTAAATGTTGCTGTCGTAATACATTCGGTCAAAGAGTCCAAGATGCCAAGCATCACGTTAAATTAAATGAGAAAGGGCATTAGTTGCCAAATCTGGTCTTTGATACGCATTTCAATTCATTAGACAATGTTAATTCATTTTATCCAAAGCCAGGGTTGGCTGCCTATGGCCTCCAGTTATATATTTTGGCAGCACCTGCTGTGTTATGAACTACAGCCTCTTTTGGAAAACAGGTTGTGTATCACACCACATTATCATGGTCAGAACGCTGGGAGACAGCAATGAAATGCCACACAGATGGCCGGCTCATCCTGCTGACCCCTGCTGATGAGAAACGAATTTTGTAATTAAAGAAAAAAAACTGATATGCAGCTTTAGCTAGAAAAGCATTTCTTTCGGCCTAAGAACATTTGAAAGATTATCAAAACATAGGAATATTTTGATTTTTTTCTTGGGCAAAGGTAAAGGCTCTCCTCACACATATGTGCTACTCATTCCCGACTCTAGGGGACAGTGCTCATCCCCGTTTCAGAGACAAAGAGCCAGCGCTGTCCGAAGACGTCTCCATAGTCATGTGGCCAGCATGACTAAATGCCGAAGGTGCAGGGAACGCTATTACCTTCTCACCAAAGGTGGTTCCTATTTTTCTACTTGCATTTTTACATGCTTTCGAACTGCTAAGTTTGCAGAAGCTGGGACAAGTAACGGGAGCTCACTTTGTTACACAGTGCTGGGGATTCGAACCGCTGAACTGCTGACCTTCTGATTGACAAGCTCAGTGTCTTAGTTACTGAGCCACCGTGTCCTACCGATTTTTTCCTAATCCTGCCTTTATTACTTATTTATAAAGTGAACACACCCTAAATTCCCAACAACAATAATCCTGTGAGGTGGGCTGAAATGGAGTAACGGGCCCAAAGCTGGCTTTTATGGCTAAGACAGGACTAGAACTCCCAGGCTCCTGGTTTATAAACCAGCACCTTTACCACTGGGCCAAACTGGTTCTCCACTACACACAATATTCCATCACAACCTTGGCATAGTAACGGATGCAGGGGCTCTTCATGTGTGAGGGAGAAATTTTAAACTGGGAAATATAGGGGCATTCAGGAATGAATATTCAGGACTACTTATACATTTTTTGTGCAAAAAAGAAAAAAAAGCCCGAACTTGTGGTTTATGTTTTGATGATTAGACTATAGACTATAGAAAGAAAAGAGTCATGAGGTAATTTAGAGGTTAAAATATAAAATGTATTATAACTGCTATGAAGATCAAAAGCCACTTTTGATATAAAATCTTTTTAATAACCCTTTTTTTAACCTTCCTTCCATTTTTTTGCACTTTTGTTCTCCCTGACTCTTTCTTGTTCTACTTTAGTTTGTCACTTCTTACAGCTGTTAAAACTCTAAATGAAAATTATTTTTAATACCTCACTTTACAGCCAGATCTACAGGACGGATCTCTTACCCAAGGTCCTCTGATTTCAAATGATAGTTCTTTTACCTGTCCCTCAAAGGTAATAGAGCATGCACAGTATATTTCTCCAGTCAACTAAATTAAAACCTTGGTGTCCGTCCTGGAAGCCATCTTTTTCGTTGGAGCTTCAGGGCTGTCACATTTAGTGCCTGGGAAAACGGGAGGGGGGATTACAAGGAGCGGTGGAGGATTAGGCCATAACAACATTCTTTTCTATGGGAGTCAAGGACAATCAGCCTGCACCTGGATGGGAGTGACTGGGGGTTGTCTGCAGTTGGGACATTGAAATGATTGGACCATGTGATGGACTTGTGGGTGCAGGGGATGGATCTTTGATCTTTCTTTTGGGTGGGGAAAACCTGGAACTCTCGGATTCGGATTTTCCCAGATGTGACAATATGACATCTCTAATAAAATGGAACTTTGAGGAATTGCTATCCTTGGAGTTTTCTTTCGTGGGGGGTGGGGGGTGTTACTTGGAATCCTGAGCCTTGGGAGAAAATAATCTCCTATCAGATATTCCAAGTATCTCCATAAAATAAAA